CTAAGCCTAAGCCTAAGCCTAAGCCTAAGCCTAAGCCTAAGCCTAAGCCTAAGCCTAAGCCTAAGCCTAAGCCTAAGCCTAAGCCTAAGCCTAAGCCTAAGCCTAAGCCTAAAGCCTAAGCCTAAGCTAAGCCTAAGCCTAAGCCTAAGCCTAAGCCTAAGCCTAAGCCTAAGCCTAAGCTAAGCCTAAGCCTAAGCCTAAGCCTAAGCTAAGCCTAAGCCTAAAGCCTAAGCCTAAGCCTAAGCCTAAGCCTAAGCCTAAGCCTAAGCCTAAGCCTAAGCCTAAGCCTAAGCCTAAGCCTAAGCCTAAGCCTAAGCCTAAGCCTAAGCCTAAGGCTAAGCCTAAGCCTAAGCCTAAGCCTAAGCCTAAGCCTAAGCCTAAGCCTAAGCCTAAGCCTAAGCCTAAGCCTAAGCCTAAGCCTAAGCCTAAGCCTAAGCCTAAAGCCTAAGCCTAAGCCTAAGCCTAAGCCTAAGCCTAAGCCTAAGCCTAAGCCTAAGCCTAAGCCTAAGCTAAGCTAAGCCTAAGCCTAAGCCTAAGCCTAAGCCTAAGCCTAAGCCTAAGCCTAAGCCTAAGCCTAAGCCTAAGCCTAAGCTAAGCTAAGCCTAAGCCTAAGCCTAAGCCTAAGCCTAAGCCTAAGCCTAAGCCTAAGCCTAAGCCTAAGCCTAAGCCTAAGCCTAAGCCTAAGCCTAAGCCTAAGCCTAAGCCTAAGCCTAAGCCTAAGCCTAAGCCTAAGCCTAAGCCTAAGCCTAAGCCTAAGCCTAAGCCTAAGCCTAAAGCCTAAGCCTAAGCCTAAGCCTAAGCCTAAGCCTAAGCCTAAGCCTAAGCCTAAGCCTAAGCCTAAGCCTAAGCCTAAGCCTAAGCCTAAGCCTAAGCCTAAAGCCTAAGCCTAAGCCTAAGCCTAAGCCTAAGCCTAAGCCTAAGCCTAAGCCTAAGCCTAAGCCTAAGCCTAAGCCTAAGCCTAAGCCTAAGCCTAAGCCTAAGCCTAAGCCTAAGCCTAAGCCTAAGCCTAAGCCTAAGCCTAAGCCTTAAGCCTAAGCCTAAGCCTAAGCCTAAGCCTAAGCCTAAGCCTAAGCCTAAGCCTAAGCCTAAGCCTAAGCCTAAGCCTAAGCCTAAGCCTAAGCCTAAGCCTAAGCCTAAGCCTAAGCCTAAGCCTAAGCCTAAGCCTAAGCCTAAAGCCTAAGCCTAAGCCTAAGCCTAAGCCTAAGCCTAAGCCTAAGCCTAAGCCTAAGCCTAAGCCTAAGCCTAAGCCTAAGCCTAAGCCTAAGCCTAAGCCTAAGCCTAAGCCTAAGCCTAAGCCTAAGCCTAAGCCTAAGCCTAAGCCTAAGCCTAAGCCTAAGCCTAAGCCTAAGCCTAAGCCTAAGCCTAAGCCTAAGCCTAAGCCTAAGCCTAAGCCTAAGCCTAAGCCTAAGCCTAAGCCTAAGCCTAAGCCTAAGCCTAAGCCTAAGCCTAAGCCTAAGCCTAAGCCTAAGCCTAAGCCTAAGCCTAAGCCTAAGCCTAAGCCTAAGCCTAAGCCTAAGCCTAAGCCTAAGCCTAAGCCTAAGCCTAAGCCTAAGCCTAAGCCTAAGCCTAAGCCTAAGCCTAAGCCTAAGCCTAAGCCTAAGCCTAAGCCTAAGCCTAAGCCTAAGCCTAAGCCTAAGCCTAAGCCTAAGCCTAAGCCTAAGCCTAAGCCTAAGCCTAAGCCTAAGCCTAAGCCTAAGCCTAAGCCTAAGCCTAAGCCTAAGCCTAAGCCTAAGCCTAAGCCTAAGCCTAAGCCTAAGCCTAAGCCTAAGCCTAAGCCTAAGCCTAAGCCTAAGCCTAAGCCTAAGCCTAAGCCTAAGCCTAAGCCTAAGCCTAAGCCTAAGCCTTAAGCCTAAGCCTAAGCCTAAGCCTAAGCCTAAGCCTAAGCCTAAGCCTAAGCCTAAGCCTAAGCCTAAGCCTAAGCCTAAGCCTAAGCCTAAGCCTAAGCCTAAGCCTAAGCCTAAGCCTAAGCCTAAGCCTAAGCCTAAGCCTAAGCCTAAGCCTAAGCCTAAGCCTAAGCCTAAGCCTAAGCCTAAGCCTAAGCCTAAGCCTAAGCCTAAGCCTAAGCCTAAGCCTAAGCCTAAGCCTAAGCCTAAGCCTAAGCCTAAGCCTAAGCCTAAGCCTAAGCCTAAGCCTAAGCCTAAGCCTAAGCCTAAGCCTAAGCCTAAGCCTAAGCCTAAGCCTAAGCCTAAGCCTAAGCCTAAGCCTAAGCCTAAGCCTAAGCCTAAGCCTAAGCCTAAGCCTAAGCCTAAGCCTAAGCCTAAGCCTAAGCCTAAGCCTAAGCCTAAGCCTAAGCCTAAGCCTAAGCCTAAGCCTAAGCCTAAGCCTAAGCCTAAGCCTAAGCCTAAGCCTAAGCCTAAGCCTAAGCCTAAGCCTAAGCCTAAGCCTAAGCTAAGCCTAAGCCTAAGCCTAAGCCTAAGCCTAAGCCTAAGCCTAAGCCTAAGCCTAAGCCTAAGCCTAAGCCTAAGCCTAAGCCTAAGCCTAAGCCTAAGCCTAAGCCTAAGCCTAAGCCTAAGCCTAAGCCTAAGCCTAAGCCTAAGCCTAAGCCTAAGCCTAAGCCTAAGCCTAAGCCTAAGCCTAAGCCTAAGCCTAAGCCTAAGCCTAAGCCTAAGCCTAAGCCTAAGCCTAAGCCTAAGCCTAAGCCTAAGCCTAAGCCTAAGCCTAAGCCTAAGCCTAAGCCTAAGCCTAAGCCTAAGCCTAAGCCTAAGCCTAAGCCTAAGCCTAAGCCTAAGCCTAAGCCTAAGCCTAAGCCTAAGCCTAAGCCTAAGCCTAAGCCTAAGCCTAAGCCTAAGCCTAAGCCTAAGCCTAAGCCTAAGCCTAGCCTAAGCCTAAGCCTAAGCCTAAGCCTAAGCCTAAGCCTAAGCCTAAGCCTAAGCCTAAGCCTAAGCCTAAGCCTAAGCTAAGCCTAAGCCTAAGCCTAAGCCTAAGCCTAAGCCTAAGCCTAAGCCTAAGCCTAAGCCTAAGCCTAAGCCTAAGCCTAAGCCTAAGCCTAAGCCTAAGCCTAAGCTAAGCCTAAGCCTAAGCCTAAGCCTAGCCTAAGCCTAAGCCTAAGCCTAAGCCTAAGCCTAAGCCTAAGCCTAAGCCTAAGCCTAAGCTAAGCCTAAGCCTAAGCCTAAGCCTAAGCCTAAGCCTAAGCCTAAAGCCTAAGCCTAAGCCTAAGCCTAAGCCTAAGCCTAAGCCTAAGCCTAAGCCTAAGCCTAAGCCTAAGCCTAAGCTAAGCTAAGCCTAAGCCTAAGCCTAAGCCTAAGCCTAAGCCTAAGCCTAAGCCTAAGCCTAAGCCTAAGCCTAAGCCTAAGCCTAAGCCTAAGCCTAAGCCTAAGCCTAAGCCTAAGCCTAAGCCTAAGCCTAAGCCTAAGCCTAAGCCTAAGCCTAAGCCTAAGCCTAAGCCTAAGCCTAAGCCTAAGCCTAAGCCTAAGCCTAAGCCTAAGCCTAAGCCTAAGCCTAAGCCTAAGCCTAAGCCTAAGCCTAAGCCTAAGCCTAAGCCTAAGCCTAAGCCTAAGCCTAAGCCTAAGCCTAAGCCTAAGCCTAAGCCTAAGCCTAAAGCCTAAGCCTAAGCCTAAGCCTAAGCCTAAGCCTAAGCCTAAGCCTAAGCCTAAGCCTAAGCCTAAGCCTAAGCCTAAGCCTAAGCTAAGCCTAAGCCTAAGCCTAAGCCTAAGCCTAAGCCTAAGCCTATAAGCCTAAGCCTAAGCCTAAGCCTAAGCCTAAGCCTAAGCCTAAGCCTAAGCCTAAGCCTAAGCCTAAGCCTAAGCCTAAGCCTAAGCCTAAGCCTAAGCCTAAGCCTAAGCCTAAGCCTAAGCCTAAGCCTAAGCCTAAGCCTAAGCCTAAGCCTAAGCCTAAGCCTAAGCCTAAGCCTAAGCCTAAGCCTAAGCCTAAGCCTAAGCCTAAGCCTAAGCCTAAGCCTAAGCCTAAGCCTAAGCCTAAGCCTAAGCCTAAGCCTAAGCTAAGCCTAAGCCTAAGCTAAGCCTAAGCCTAAGCCTAAGCTAAGCCTAAGCCTAAGCCTAAGCCTAAGCCTAAGCCTAAGCCTAAGCCTAAGCCTAAGCCTAAGGCTAAGCCTAAGCCTAAGCCTAAGCCTAAGCCTAAGCCTAAGCCTAAGCCTAAGCCTAAGCCTAAGCCTAAGCCTAAGCCTAAGCCTAAGCCTAAGCCTAAGCCTAAGCCTAAGCCTAAGCCTAAGCCTAAGCCTAAGCCTAAGCCTAAGCCTAAGCCTAAGCCTAAGCCTAAGCCTAAGCCTAAGCCTAAGCCTAAGCCTAAGCCTAAGCCTAAGCCTAAGCCTAAGCCTAAGCCTAAGCCTAAGCCTAAGCCTAAGCCTAAGCCTAAGCCTAAGCCTAAGCCTAAGCCTAAGCCTAAGCCTAAGCCTAAGCCTAAGCCTAAAGCCTAAGCCTAAGCCTAAGCCTAAGCCTAAGCCTAAGCCTAAGCCTAAGCCTAAGCCTAAGCCTAAGCCTAAGCCTAAGCCTAAGCCTAAGCCTAAGCCTAAGCCTAAGCCTAAGCCTAAGCCTAAGCCTAAGCCTAAGCCTAAGCCTAAGCCTAAGCCTAAGCCTAAGCCTAAGCCTAAGCCTAAGCCTAAGCCTAAGCCTAAGCCTAAGCCTAAGCCTAAGCCTAAGCCTAAGCCTAAGCCTAAGCCTAAGCCTAAGCCTAAGCCTAAGCCTAAGCCTAAGCCTAAGCCTAAGCCTAAGCCTAAGCCTAAGCCTAAGCCTAAGCCTAAGCCTAAGCCTAAGCCTAAGGCCTAAGCCTAAGCCTAAGCCTAAGCCTAAGCCTAAGCCTAAGCCTAAGCCTAAGCCTAAGCCTAAGCCTAAGCCTAAGCCTAAGCCTAAGCCTAAGCCTAAGCCTAAGCCTAAGCCTAAGCCTAAAGCCTAAGCCTAAGCCTAAGCCTAAGCCTAAGCCTAAGCCTAAGCCTAAGCCTAAGCCTAAGCCTAAGCCTAAGCCTAAGCCTAAGCCTAAGCCTAAGCCTAAGCCTAAGCCTAAGCCTAAGCCTAAGCCTAAGCCTAAGCCTAAGCCTAAGCCTAAGCCTAGCCTAAGCCTAAGCCTAAGCCTAAGCCTAAGCCTAAGCCTAAGCCTAAGCCTAAGCCTAAGCCTAAGCCTAAGCCTAAGCCTAAGCCTAAGCCTAAGCCTAAGCCTAAGCCTAAGCCTAAGCCTAAGCCTAAGCCTAAGCCTAAGCCTAAGCCTAAGCCTAAGCCTAAGCCTAAGCCTAAGCCTAAGCCTAAGCCTAAGCCTAAGCCTAAGCCTAAGCCTAAGCCTAAGCCTAAGCCTAAGCCTAAGCCTAAGCCTAAGCCTAAGCCTAAGCCTAAGCCTAAGCCTAAGCCTAAGCCTAAGCCTAAGCCTAAGCCTAAGCCTAAGCCTAAGCCTAAGCCTAAGCCTAAGCCTAAGCCTAAGCCTAAGCCTAAGCCTAAGCCTAAGCCTAAGCCTAAGCCTAAGCCTAAGCCTAAGCCTAAGCCTAAGCCTAAGCCTAAGCCTAAGCCTAAGCCTAAGCCTAAGCCTAAGCCTAAGCCTAAGCCTAAGCCTAAGCCTAAGCCTAAGCCTAAGCCTAAGCCTAAGCCTAAGCCTAAGCCTAAGCCTAAGCCTAAGCCTAAGCCTAAGCCTAAGCCTAAGCCTAAGCCTAAGCCTAAGCCTAAGCCTAAGCCTAAGCCTAAGCCTAAGCCTAAGCCTAAGCCTAAGCCTAAGCCTAAGCCTAAGCCTAAGCCTAAGCCTAAGCCTAAGCCTAAGCCTAAGCCTAAGCCTAAGCCTAAGCCTAAGCCTAAGCCTAAGCCTAAGCCTAAGCCTAAGCCTAAGCCTAAGCCTAAGCCTAAGCCTAAGCCTAAGCCTAAGCCTAAGCCTAAGCCTAAGCCTAAGCCTAAGCCTAAGCCTAAGCCTAAGCCTAAGCCTAAGCCTAAGCCTAAGCCTAAGCCTAAGCCTAAGCCTAAGCCTAAGCCTAAGCCTAAGCCTAAGCTAAGCCTAAGCCTAAGCCTAAGCCTAAGCCTAAGCCTAAGCCTAAGCCTAAGCCTAAGCCTAAGCCTAAGCCTAAGCCTAAGCCTAAGCCTAAGCCTAAGCCTAAGCCTAAGCCTAAGCCTAAGCCTAAGCCTAAGCCTAAGCCTAAGCCTAAGCCTAAGCCTAAGCCTAAGCCTAAGCCTAAGCCTAAGCCTAAGCCTAAGCCTAAGCCTAAGCCTAAGCCTAAGCCTAAGCCTAAGCCTAAGCCTAAGCCTAAGCCTAAGCCTAAGCCTAAGCCTAAGCCTAAGCCTAAGCCTAAGCCTAAGCCTAAGCCTAAGCCTAAGCCTAAGCCTAAGCCTAAGCCTAAGCCTAAGCCTAAGCCTAAGCCTAAGCCTAAGCCTAAGCCTAAGCCTAAGCCTAAGCCTAAGCCTAAGCCTAAGCCTAAGCCTAAGCCTAAGCCTAAGCCTAAGCCTAAGCCTAAGCCTAAGCCTAAGCCTAAGCCTAAGCCTAAGCCTAAGCCTAAGCCTAAGCCTAAGCCTAAGCCTAAGCCTAAGCCTAAGCCTAAGCCTAAGCCTAAGCCTAAGCCTAAGCCTAAGCCTAAGCCTAAGCTAAGCCTAAGCCTAAGCCTAAGCCTAAGCCTAAGCCTAAGCCTAAGCCTAAGCCTAAGCCTAAGCCTAAGCCTAAGCCTAAGCCTAAGCCTAAGCCTAAGCCTAAGCCTAAGCCTAAGCCTAAGCCTAAGCCTAAGCCTAAGCCTAAGCCTAAGCCTAAGCCTAAGCCTAAGCCTAAGCCTAAGCCTAAGCCTAAGCCTAAGCCTAAGCCTAAGCCTAAGCCTAAGCCTAAGCCTAAGCCTAAGCCTAAGCCTAAGCCTAAGCCTAAGCCTAAGCCTAAGCCTAAGCCTAAGCCTAAGCCTAAGCCTAAGCCTAAGCCTAAGCCTAAGCCTAAGCCTAAGCCTAAGCCTAAGCCTAAGCCTAAGCCTAAGCCTAAGCCTAAGCCTAAGCCTAAGCCTAAGCTAAGCCTAAGCCTAAGCCTAAGCATTATTTTATTATTTAAGATGTCAAATGACAACAATGTATGTGACCAGTTCCTGCACTATGCGTATATAATAATCAATTTTTTTTTTTATTAAATGATATTTTTTAATACTTTTAACATCCTTTGAAATTAAATTTTGATAATAGTAGGACTTCTTACCTAGTTTAGTATGCAAAACACCCGTACAAATTATGGGATTTTTATAAATGTATTATTTAAATTTGAAATATAAATTAATTTTAATCGTAAGAATGAATTAAAATCGTGAAAAATTAAAAATTTAATTAATTTTGCTAATAAAATATTGATTAAAACTTAATTTCTAAAGTTTATTTTATTATTTTTGCTTGTCAAATGACCACGGTGTGTGTGACCAGTACCTTGCAACGCATAAAATTCAATCAATTAAGTACAAAATATCTATTTCTTTAATGATTTGAGATTTTTTAATACTTTAAATTTAATTAAAATTAGTTTTTGATGATTTGATATTATTTAATATCTTAACATTTTAATGATTTGATATTATTTAATATTTTAACATTTAATTAAGATTAAATTTGATAATAACAGGGTTTATTTTCCAGTTTATCATGCAAAAATTCTTACAAATTATAGGATTTTCATAAAAATCAATTTTAAATTTAAATTAAAAATTAGCATTAATTGTAAAAATGAATTAGATCTATGACTAATTAAAAATTTTATTATTTTCACGAGTGAAATTTTAATTCAAAACTCAATTCTTAAAGTTTATTTAATTATTTATGCTGATCAAATGACCACAATGTATGTGACCAGTACCTGTACAATGCAAACAAATTAATCAATTAAGTTCAAATTATCTAATTTTTTAAATGATTCGATTTTTTTTAATATTTCAACATTTAATCAAAATGATTCTTTGATATTGCTAGAATTTATTTTATAGTTTAATATACAAAATCCTAACAAATTATTGAATTTTCATAAAATTTGAAATAAGAATTGATTTCAATTGTAAGAATGAATCAAAACCGTGATAAATTAAAAATTTTAGTTAATTTTGCCTATCAAATATTAATTAAAACTTAATTATTAAAGTTTATTTTATTATTAATGTTTGTCAAATGACCACACCGTAAATAACTAGTACTATGGAACGCTTATAAATTAATCAGTTAAGCTCAAATTATCTATTTTTTTTTTTTTAAACAATTGATATTTATAATATTTTAACATTTAATTAAAATAAATTTTGACAACACAGGGATTCATTTTACTTTTTAATATACAAAACTCTAATAAATCATTAAATTTTCACAGAATTTGATATTTAAATTTGAAATAAAAATTAATTTGAATTGTAAGGATGAATTAAAACCGTGATAAATTAAAAATTTAATCAATTTCGCTAGTCGAATATTGATTGAAACTTAATTTTTAAAGTTTATTTAGTTATTTATGCTGATCAAATGAGCAACCGTAGATGACCAGTACCTGTGCAATGCATACAAATTAATCAATTAAGCTCAAAATATCTAACTTTTTTTAATGAATAATATATTTTTTAACAGTTTTAACATTTAATTAAAGTAAAATTTGATATTACTAGAAATTATAGAAAAAAGTCTAATATACAAAAAAGGTTTTGATTCATTGCAAATCATAAAACTTTCATAAAATTCTATCTTAAGCTTTCAAACAAAAATTAATTTTAGCTGCAGAAATGAATTAAATCTACGACAAATTAAAAATCTTATTAATATCACTTCTCGAATATTAAAAAAGACATAGTTATTAAAGTTTATTTTCTTATTTATGTTGTCAATTGACCACACCGTAAATGACCAGTACCTATGAAATGCACACAAATTAATCAATTAAGTTCGAAATATCTAACTTTTTTTAATGAATTGCTATTTTTTAATAGTTTCAACATTTAATTAAAATCAAAATTGAGAAAACTAGAAATTATTTTCCCGTTTAATATACAAAAACTCTTGCAAATTATAAAATTTTCACCAAAATTGATTTTTAGATTTGAAATAATGCTTAAGCCTAAGCCTAAGTATACCCTAAGCCTAAGCCTAAGCATTATTTTATTATTTAAGATGTCAAATGACAACAATGTATGTGACCAGTTCCCGCACTATGCGTATGTAATAATCAATTTTTTTTTTTTATTAAATGATATTTTTAATACTTTTAACATCCTTTGAAATTAAATTTTGATAATAGTAGGACTTCTTACCTAGTTTAGTATGCAAAACACCCGTACAAATTATGGGATTTTTATAAATGTATTATTTAAATTTGAAATATAAATTAATTTTAATCGTAAGAATGAATTAAAATCGTGAAAAATTAAAAATTTAATTAATTTTGCTAATAAAATATTGATTAAAACTTAATTTCTAAAGTTTATTTTATTATTTTTGCTTGTCAAATGACCACGGTGTGTGTGACCAGTACCTTGCAACGCATAAAATTCAATCAATTAAGTACAAAATATCTATTTCTTTAATGATTTGAGATTTTTTAATACTTTAAATTTAATTAAAATTAGTTTTTGATGATTTGATATTATTTAATATCTTAACATTTTAATGATTTGATATTATTTAATATTTTAACATTTAATTAAGATTAAATTTGATAATAACAGGGTTTATTTTCCAGTTTATTATGCAAAAATTCTTACAAATTATAGGATTTTCATAAAAATCAATTTTAAATTTAAATTAAAAATTAGCATTAATTGTAAAAATGAATTAGATCTATGACTAATTAAAAATTTTATTATTTTCACGAGTGAAATTTTAATTCAAAACTCAATTCTTAAAGTTTATTTAATTATTTATGCTGATCAAATGACCACAATGTATGTGACCAGTACCTGTACAATGCAAACAAATTAATCAATTAAGTTCAAATTATCTAATTTTTTAAATGATTCGATTTTTTTTAATATTTCAACATTTAATCAAAATGATTCTTTGATATTGCTAGAATTTATTTTATAGTTTAATATACAAAATCCTAACAAATTATTGAATTTTCATAAAATTTGAAATAAGAATTGATTTCAATTGTAAGAATGAATCAAAACCGTGATAAATTAAAAATTTTAGTTAATTTTGCCTATCAATTATTAATTAAAACTTAATTATTAAAGTTTATTTTATTATTAATGTTTGTCAAATGACCACACCGTAAATAACTAGTACTATGGAACGCTTATAAATTAATCAGTTAAGCTCAAATTATCTATTTTTTTTTTTTTTAAACAATTGATATTTATAATATTTTAACATTTAATTAAAATAAATTTTGACAACACAGGGATTCATTTTACTTTTTAATATACAAAACTCTAATAAATCATTAAATTTTCACAGAATTTGATATTTAAATTTGAAATAAAAATTAATTTGAATTGTAAGGATGAATTAAAACCGTGATAAATTAAAAATTTAATCAATTTCGCTAGTCGAATATTGATTGAAACTTAATTTTTAAAGTTTATTTAGTTATTTATGCTGATCAAATGAGCAACCGTAGATGACCAGTACCTGTGCAATGCATACAAATTAATCAATTAAGCTCAAAATATCTAACTTTTTTTAATGAATAATATATTTTTTAACAGTTTTAACATTTAATTAAAGTAAAATTTGATATTACTAGAAATTATAGAAAAAAGTCTAATATACAAAAAAGGTTTTGATTCATTGCAAATCATAAAACTTTCATAAAATTCTATCTTAAGCTTTCAAACAAAAATTAATTTTAGCTGCAGAAATGAATTAAATCTACGACAAATTAAAAATCTTATTAATATCACTTCTCGAATATTAAAAAAGACATAGTTATTAAAGTTTATTTTCTTATTTATGTTGTCAATTGACCACACCGTAAATGACCAGTACCTATGAAATGCACACAAATTAATCAATTAAGTTCGAAATATCTAACTTTTTTTAATGAATTGCTATTTTTTAATAGTTTCAACATTTAATTAAAATCAAAATTGAGAAAACTAGAAATTATTTTCCCGTTTAATATACAAAAACTCTTGCAAATTATAAAATTTTCACCAAAATTGATTTTTAGATTTGAAATAATGCTTAAGCCTAAGCCTAAGTATACCCTAAGCCTAAGCCTAAGCATTATTTTATTATTTAAGATGTCAAATGACAACAATGTATGTGACCAGTTCCCGCACTATGCGTATGTAATAATCAATTTTTTTTTTTTATTAAATGATATTTTTTAATACTTTTAACATCCTTTGAAATTAAATTTTGATAATAGTAGGACTTCTTACCTAGTTTAGTATGCAAAACACCCGTACAAATTATGGGATTTTTATAAATGTATTATTTAAATTTGAAATATAAATTAATTTTAATCGTAAGAATGAATTAAAATCGTGAAAAATTAAAAATTTAATTAATTTTGCTAATAAAATATTGATTAAAACTTAATTTCTAAAGTTTATTTTATTATTTTTGCTTGTCAAATGACCACGGTGTGTGTGACCAGTACCTTGCAACGCATAAAATTCAATCAATTAAGTACAAAATATCTATTTCTTTAATGATTTGAGATTTTTTAATACTTTAAATTTAATTAAAATTAGTTTTTGATGATTTGATATTATTTAATATCTTAACATTTTAATGATTTGATATTATTTAATATTTTAACATTTAATTAAGATTAAATTTGATAATAACAGGGTTTATTTTCCAGTTTATTATGCAAAAATTCTTACAAATTATAGGATTTTCATAAAAATCAATTTTAAATTTAAATTAAAAATTAGCATTAATTGTAAAAATGAATTAGATCTATGACTAATTAAAAATTTTATTATTTTCACGAGTGAAATTTTAATTCAAAACTCAATTCTTAAAGTTTATTTAATTATTTATGCTGATCAAATGACCACAATGTATGTGACCAGTACCTGTACAATGCAAACAAATTAATCAATTAAGTTCAAATTATCTAATTTTTTAAATGATTCGATTTTTTTTAATATTTCAACATTTAATCAAAATGATTCTTTGATATTGCTAGAATTTATTTTATAGTTTAATATACAAAATCCTAACAAATTATTGAATTTTCATAAAATTTGAAATAAGAATTGATTTCAATTGTAAGAATGAATCAAAACCGTGATAAATTAAAAATTTTAGTTAATTTTGCCTATCAATTATTAATTAAAACTTAATTATTAAAGTTTATTTTATTATTAATGTTTGTCAAATGACCACACCGTAAATAACTAGTACTATGGAACGCTTATAAATTAATCAGTTAAGCTCAAATTATCTATTTTTTTTTTTTTTTAAACAATTGATATTTATAATATTTTAACATTTAATTAAAATAAATTTTGACAACACAGGGATTCATTTTACTTTTTAATATACAAAACTCTAATAAATCATTAAATTTTCACAGAATTTGATATTTAAATTTGAAATAAAAATTAATTTGAATTGTAAGGATGAATTAAAACCGTGATAAATTAAAAATTTAATCAATTTCGCTAGTCGAATATTGATTGAAACTTAATTTTTAAAGTTTATTTAGTTATTTATGCTGATCAAATGAGCAACCGTAGATGACCAGTACCTGTGCAATGCATACAAATTAATCAATTAAGCTCAAAATATCTAACTTTTTTTAATGAATAATATATTTTTTAACAGTTTTAACATTTAATTAAAGTAAAATTTGATATTACTAGAAATTATAGAAAAAAGTCTAATATACAAAAAAGGTTTTGATTCATTGCAAATCATAAAACTTTCATAAAATTCTATCTTAAGCTTTCAAACAAAAATTAATTTTAGCTGCAGAAATGAATTAAATCTACGACAAATTAAAAATCTTATTAATATCACTTCTCGAATATTAAAAAAGACATAGTTATTAAAGTTTATTTTCTTATTTATGTTGTCAATTGACCACACCGTAAATGACCAGTACCTATGAAATGCACACAAATTAATCAATTAAGTTCGAAATATCTAACTTTTTTTAATGAATTGCTATTTTTTAATAGTTTCAACATTTAATTAAAATCAAAATTGAGAAAACTAGAAATTATTTTCCCGTTTAATATACAAAAACTCTTGCAAATTATAAAATTTTCACCAAAATTGATTTTTAGATTTGAAATAATGCTTAAGCCTAAGCCTAAGTATACCCTAAGCCTAAGCCTAAGCATTATTTTATTATTTAAGATGTCAAATGACAACAATGTATGTGACCAGTTCCCGCACTATGCGTATGTAATAATCAATTTTTTTTTTTTTATTAAATGATATTTTTTAATACTTTTAACATCCTTTGAAATTAAATTTTGATAATAGTAGGACTTCTTACCTAGTTTAGTATGCAAAACACCCGTACAAATTATGGGATTTTTATAAATGTATTATTTAAATTTGAAATATAAATTAATTTTAATCGTAAGAATGAATTAAAATC